TCATGGTGAAACTAGATGAAAAATAATGAAAGAATGAAAGATAGAACCCTAGAATTTGAAGAGTGGAGCTTGAGCATCCAAAATCCTCCTCCAAGGGGTGAAGAAAGTGTGATTTTGCTTCGTTTTGGCCAAAGATCCTAACCTTAGGTCGACTAAAACCTTATATAGCTTCCTAAAGATTATAGAAAAGTGGCAAAAGGCCCATTAAAATGGCGCTCAGTGGTAATTACCGCTCAGCGGTAAGTGCGGTTCTTTTATTTGATGCTTAGCTGAAGTTTTTCCCCTCAACGTTGACTACGGGACTTCAAAGTGCCGCTCAATGGTAAAAGTGGCGTTGAGCAGTACTTGCGGCTCTTCTTTTATGCACTTTTTCTTCCTTTTCTGAATACAACTTATGACTAATTCACTTCTTCCATTCAATTCATCTTAAAACCTGCAAAAACAAGGAAAACCAAGCATAAAACCCATCCAACTCTCTTATTTCCAAAACATAAGCAAAAGCATGATTACAAGCTAGTTTCTAAGTCATAAAGGTTGTCTTTAAGGTCAAAATTAAGTCTAGAAATAACAGTTTTTCAACTGTTATCAGTAGACCCAATAAAGGTAAGGCCTTATAGGTACCCGCATGTGCTGAAGAATGAAATAGAGAAGCAGGTAGCGGATATGTTACAAATAGGGGTGATACGGCCAAGCACTAGCCAATACTCAAGCCCTGTTATATTGGTGAAAAAGAAGGATGGATCTTGGAGATTCTGTATTGATTACAGAGCCTTGATTTGTGCCACAGTCCCCGACAAGTTACTAATCCCAGTCATAGAGGAGTTGTTGGATGAGTTGAAGGGAGCGATGTACCTCTCCAAGGTTGACCTTAAGGCTGGATATCATTAGATACGTATCGGGAAGAGAGACATACAAAAGACAACTTTCCGAACACATTTGGGGCATTATGAATTCATGGTAATGCCATTTGGCTTGATCAATGCCCCAACAACCTTTCAAAGCGCGATGAACGATCTGTTACGACCTTACATAAGGAGGTTCGTGCTAGTTTTCTTTGACGACATTCTAGTCTACAGCCAGACGTGGGCTGATCATATGAAACATGTGGGGATGGTGTTGACTAGATTGGAGGAGAACCAGTGGGTCGCTAACCAGAAGAAAAGAAAATTTGGATGTGTCTAGATAGGATATCTAGGCCACTTGATATCGGAAAAGGGGGTCGAGATGGATCCGGGGAAAGTAAAAGCAGTAGTTTATTGGGAACGACCAAGGAGTGTGAAAGCGTTGAAGGGCTTCCTTAGGTTGACGGGGTATTATCAAGGTCTCGTCAAGGACTATGGAAAAATTGCTTGGCCCTTGACCAAATTTCTAAAGAAGGGGGAGTATAGATGGAATGAAAAGGCGGAAGAAGCTATGAATCGATTGAAGAAAGTAGTGACTTCAGCTCCTGTGTTAGTGCTACCAGATTTTGAGAAGCAATTCCACATAGAATGTGATGCTTCGGGTGGGGGCGTCGGGGTCGTGTTGACGCAAGACAGGAGGCCTATTGCATACTTCAGTAAAGCCCTATCTAAGGGGTCATTAAATAAATCGATCTATGAGAAAGAGTTAATGGCTTTGGTGATGGCCATACAACATTGGCAACCTTACTTAATGGGACAACGATTTGTAGTTCACACAGACCAAAAGAGCTTGCGGTACTTGTTGGAGCAACGAATTACAACCCAAAATCAGCAGAATTGGCTTGCCAAAATGCTTGGGTATGACTTCGAAATAATCTACAAGGTAGGGAACACAAACAGAGTGGCTAATGCCCTGTCCAGGAGATGGAGGAACCAGGGGAAGGGGAAAAGGAATTGAGGGTAGTGGCTAGACCCTATTGGCAGAATTTTGAAGAGGTGATAAAGGAGGTAGAGGAGGATGTATACTTGAGGAAGATAATGGAGGATATTAAGGAGAACCCAGACTCACACCTACCCTTTACTATGGAGAATAAAAGGCTGCATTAGAAGGGGAGGTTGGTGTTATCGGCTCAATCAGCCTGGATTACCAAAGTGTTAGCTGAGTTTCATCTGACACAAACCGGGGGACATTCCGAGGTGTACAGGACTTACAGGAGAATGGCTCAGTCTCTTTACTGGGTGGGAATGAAAAAAACGGTGACTGATTATGTTGAGGGCTGTTTGGTATGTCAACAACATAAGTACGTTGCGTCGTCTTCTCAAGGACTATTACAACCCCTACCCATTCCAAATGCTGTGTGGGAAGAAGTCAGCAAGGATTTCATAGTCAAGCTGCCAAAGTCGAATAGGTTTGATCCAGTGCTGGTGGTGGTGGATTGCCTCAGCAAGTATGGCCATTTCGTGCCCTTGAAGCATCAGTATTCTGTCTGCACGATTGCGGAAGTGTTCGTTAAAGAAGTAGTAAGGTTACATGGTATACCCGCCTCGATTGTGAGTGACCAAGATCCTTTCTTTTTGAGTACTTTTTGGAAAGAACTGTTTAAGAAGCAAGGAACTCAGCTGCAGATGAGTACAACTTACCATCCAGAGTCCGATGGCCAGACGGAGGTGTTGAATCGGGTATTAGAGGGGTATTTACGGTGTTTCTGTTCGGAGCAACCCAAGGGATGGAGTTATGTTTTACCTTGGGCGGAATATTGGTACAATACCAGTTTTCAAGGGGTTGTGAAATGTACACCCTTTAGATATTAAGGTGGGAGATTGGGTGTATCTCAAAATTAGGCCGCATAGGCAGGCATCCATGCTGTTAAGACTGCACCCAAAGTTGGTGACGAGATACTATGGGCCTTTCCTAGTAGAGCAGAGGGTGGGCGAAGTAGCTTACAGGCTTCAACTACCCAAAACAACTCGCATTCATCCCGTTTTTCATGTCTCACAGTTGAAGAAAGTGGTGGGGGATAAAAGTGTGGAAAAGGAGTTTCCTGATGATTTACAAGGGCAAGGATCGTCTTATTCGCCTATTAAAGTATTGGAGAGGAGGCAAAGCAGGAAAGGAGACGAGGAAGTACCACAAGTATTGATTGAATGGAAAGAAGAGGGTCGTGATGGAGCAACATGGTTGAACATGGGGCAGTGGGTAATGATATGCCTTGGTTAGTTTAGAAAAGGAGGGAAAGAGTGTAATAACATAACTGTCTTAACAATTATGAGAGGGGGCGGGAAAAGGTTGTATAAATAACCTCTGGTTAATAGAGGGAGGGGTTGTTGATTGTTGATGTAAAGAACAGGTTCAGTGAACCTTGTGAGGGAGGTTATGCTCCCAGTCTATTCTTTGTACAAACCCATTATTTTAGCAATAATATTGTTCTTTCATTCATCTTCTAGCTGTTCTGAGTGACTGTGAGTGAGTTCAGTTAGGTTCAACAATACTTAGGAACCTAACAACTAAGGACTTTGTTCAGCTTGTAATGAGGTTAGGCTTCAAAGAGTTCATGGTTTTTCAATGTATCCAAACTTGTTAAGGAAAAAAATGAGAAATTAGCATTCATAATGTGTTCATTCCTTTCTTTTCAGCTCTTTGAAGGTCTTTCACATATTGTTTCCTTTAAATCCATGTTTTCTTCATTCATGCTCCTTATTCATGCACCTTTCTTGTTTTCGATTTTTGAAAAAGTTTCCTTTCTTTTAGTGCATCCTAGAGCCTCTTTTATTTTTTATTTTTTCATTTCAGGCCTATTTCTTCCAGAGTTTGTCCAACATTCCTTTTCTTTCCAAAGTTGTTACAACACCTAATTTCTCATCTTTTCTTAGTGAAAAGGTGGTCAATTTTGTTTTTCGACTAAGGGTGTGTATTTTAAAAGGCCTTGGTGCTAAAAAGATTTGACAAGATGTTCTAGGTAGGCTTTTTGGCTTTGATTTTTTAAAACACAAAAAAAATGGCCTTGATCCTTTTCTTTGAAGGTCAAGTTTCAATTTCTTCCAAAGATGTAGAACAAAGTTTAGCAGGCTGCTTCCATCCGATATGTCCCAAGATTAGGGCTGGGCAGAATTAACTTAAAATACTTAAACTATAGTTAATCTATACTTTTTTAAACTTAAAAAACTAATAATACAGTTAACTAAAAACTAATTAACTAATTAATAGTACAGTTTAAAAATACTAAACTATTTTATATTAAGTACAGTTAACTGCAGTGCAGTTTAGGTTTATACATCCTTTCCCAGTCACAGCTTCATTTTGCTTTCTGCCTTACATCTCACTCGATGCTGCTGATGAAGGTTGCCGTTGAAGGCTGCCGTCGAGGTTAACGCTGTTGAAGGTTCGCTGCCGTCGAAGGTTCGTCATCGTCGAAGGTTCGTCGCCGTCGAAGGTTCGCCGCCGTCGAAGGTTCGTCGGAGGCTCACCCCTGTCGAAGGTTTTGCCGCACTCTACCGTCGACGAACTGTCGAAGGTTCTTCTACATACCTTTTCGGAGTTCCTTTCCACTCTCTGGGTAAAAGAGTGGATTGCTCAACCTCCCTGTTCCCCCTCCATGTGGAACTCTCTACAATTTCTGTGTCCCCTCGTTCTACTTCGAAGGTATCTATCTCATTCGCAATTGTCTCGTTTCATGAATTGCAGAAGACACAATTCACCTGAATTTCAGTCCGTGCTTATGTGAGAGTACTAGGATTTGTCTTGTTAGTTGTCTTTGTTAACTCTTCTAACATGGTGAATTATTCCGTTGATTAATCAAATCTGGTTTCCGGAGGGAATAGAGATGCTACGGAAAATAGAGAAAGAGAATCTATGCAGAATAAAGTTTGCACTGTTGATTTATGTCTTTTATACAAAAGTGTTTAACTTTGGGAACTGGGTAGTTTGTATGTTTTCTAGTTCTATAAAAGCATTCTTTGTGCAAATGGGATAGTTTGGGTGACTTGATATGGTGTTTAACATAAGGGACATTGAGGTAATTATGTGTTTGATGGCATTTGGAGTGACAATAACAGCATGAAGAGGAGGGAAGCAGAGAGGAATGGAGGGGGCTAAAATCTCCTTTCACTTAGTTTATCTCCCTTCTGAAAATTGAGGAATTTGAAGGAGAGAAAAAAACTTTTAATTAATTAGCCCAAGCAATCTTCAATTTAAAGTTTTATTTCGCTAATGTAAGTATATGAATTATGTTTTATGATACGACTCAATGGTCTTTTAGTTCTCATAACTGGGAAATTGGGATCACATGGACAATTTAATTTGGCATGGAATTAAGTGGCTGGATAATCAGTAGGTAGGAGTCACCAACTGCAAATTGGCTATTGCACTAAATGTATCATCATTCAGGTGACAGACGACCAAAAGGACTATTCTATTTGTCATAGTTTTTAGAATCTTATAATTTTGTAATGTTTTTTTTTCTCTGTAGAGTATATCCTCTGCACAGGCTAAAAGATTCACAAAATTCAGGGAAAGGAAAGGGCTTATTGAGAAAGATGTGGTAAGCTAGTGGAATAGATTTTAAATTTGAATGACTATAAATGAACAAATAAAAGATGCTAATGCAGTTTTAATTATCTTGTGCTTTTGAAGGTGAGAACTGATAGATCGATCCTTTCAAATATTCTACGAGATATACTGTTGACCTATTCATTTTATAACTTTGATCTTGGTTATTGCCAGGTAACTATGTCGTGCATTTTGGACTTAATTTTAATTGCTGTGAATATTATATATCTTGATTACCAAAATTTTGATCTTATTCTTTTTGGAAGTTGAGTCCTTATTTTTCCTTAAACAGAATATGTATGTAGTCACTACAGCAGGGATGGGTATTATCTTCTTGAACCATGTCATAACTGCATAACTCACTATAGGGATTTAGATTCTATGGTTAGTGTCAAAAATCATGCATTCATTAGCATATGAGCAATGGAATATATAAATGATGTACTCCTCTTACTTTAAGAACTAGTTTTTTGGATTCAGTAAGGTAAAACTCAATTTTTTAAGAGCTAAACTTATCTGCACTGAACCATCATGCATCTGTTATCAGTAATTTAATTGAAAAACTAATAATAGCTAATAGCCCCTGTACTATTTTTTTAGCTAATAATATGGTCACTCAGGATGGGTTCTATTTCAGCAATGATGAGGTTAATTGGAGGAAGGACTTTTTGTGGTGAATGTGTGAGAAATGTGATGCCAAGGTTTTCCCCTTCATCTTGGATTCACATCACAACCCTGCTTCAATATGGGGATGCTGTTAGCCAATATCAGCATTGAGGAGTTTTGTATAATTATATATAAATTAAATAAATAAAGTGAATTCTTGTACACATTTGGTATGCCAACAGTTTTTTACTCTATAAATATAAATTCTTATGGATCTTAACATATTCATAGAAGATTATCTTAATTCTTGAGTAATGAACTATAGGAATGTCAAACTATTCAAAGTTTTTATCAGGATGAAGTGTTGAATCTTATGTTTATTTTGGAGCAACGCACATTTCATTATAATTTTTTTGAACTTTCTGTTTATTTTCAGAGCAAAAGAAACAAAAAGTTTCTGAAATAAAGACTGGAATTGATGAAGCTGAAGCTTTGGTACTTCTTTTTCTTCTGCATTGGAAAGCTGTATTTATTTTCTCTGTAGTCTGGTTCAGATGGTTTATTTAATGAATCTGTAGATTCGAAAAATGGACCTCGAAAAATGAATCTGTTGATTTATGATATGCTCTTTGATTTTTATTAATGATGCTCTTCTCATGTTTAATTTACAGGATGAAGTGCAGTTTTATTAATACAATTTTAATAGTTAGTGCTATAGTTGTTAGTGTTGTATAGTTAGTGCAGTTCTTGGTTAAAATTAGTATAATTCAGTTCAAAATTAGTATAGTTAGTAGTTTAGTTCAGTTTATAGTGTAGTTTAGTACAGTTAAGTATAGTTCAGTTCAATACAGTTTAATAAAACAAAAGCAATTTAGTTCAGTTTTTCTGAACTATTTTTTAGTGCAGTTTAGTTTTTCTGAACTAGTTTTTAGTTCAATACAGTTTTTAGTAGTGCAGTGCAGTTTAGTTTGATTTGCCCACCCCTACCCAAGATCCTCACTCTCTCAATTTGGTTAATATACTTTTTCCTTCCTTTCAAGCATAATCAATCCAGCTATTTCATACTTATGCCCAGTTTAAAGCTTAATAAAATCTTTGTTTTTCAAGGTCTTGTAAATTGAAGGTTTTACTTCTAATTGTTTTAAATTACTATCCAAATCTTGTTTTTCAAAAAGAGTTCCTAAAGTAGTGGCATTAACGTGACAATTCCAAAACTATCTATAACCTATTCTTCTTACTTCTAATTTTAATCAAAACATCATGTAAGAATTTTAAATTGTTGAAATTAAATTGCAGAAAATGTAAAAAGAACTTGTTTTATTGAAGGTTTAGAATTCTGGTCCAGTAAGGGAGTGCATATCAAAGTATTCCTCCTCCTCCTCTTCTCTTGTTCCTTCATCAACAACTTCTTCTTCTCCTACTACTGTTGTAGCTTCTTCCATTTGGGTTTCCTCTTCCTCAACCAATGCTTCCCTTTCTTGCTCCTCCTTGTCTCTACACCTGCGGTCTTGGTCCTTTTGGTACCTTATTGTGAGTTTGAGGTTGTTGACCTTTTTCTGCTGCAATGCCACTAGTCACCCCCTGAAAGAAGGGATTGTCCCAATCCATTGAACAAAAAGCCTTAAACTGATCTGGGTAATGCCAAACTCTCCCTCTTGAAGCTCAATCCCCCTCTCGGTCAAGATAGACCTATTCTGAATGTCATTGAACCTTTCTTGTTTATCCTTGGTCTGGAACCTAATTCGGTCCCATTGAGTAGAGGTTTCTGCCACTATCTTCTCGCTTATCTCTTGCGTCTGAGTTGGTGGTGTGATGGAGGATGATGTTTGAGGTGTGAATTCTAAAGTTGATGGAGTAGTGGATGCAGGGGTTGTTGTTGTTCTACCTGTTGATGCAGCTGCATGACTTGGCTTCAAGATACTTCTTTCTCTAGCTGGGGCCACATGTTTCACCTTTGTTCTTAATTAAGCAATTAGGGGAGAAGGTCCATGGCTGCTTGATAAAGAGCTATCAGATATCTCTTGTATTGGTTCAACTTCTTTCTGCTTTGATAGAGTAGTTGATGCTTTGCCCTTTTTGGCAGCAGGAATGTCATGAGCAACTCTCCTCTTTGGTTCCATTCTGCATCAATTTCAATCAACTAGAAAGTAGTCCTCCATTTTATCAATGAATCAATGATACGAACTTAGATTTCAAAATACAATTGCATATTTGTCCTTAAATTTCACTCTCAACAACCAAACCATTTTCTAATGTGCATTTCATCATGTGACATTCAATTTTCATGATCTAATCAACGAAACATGCATCTCATTGTCTTTAACCAAAATTAGATAAAACCAAAACTTTCGAAAATTCTTGTGATTTGAACATGCAAGTAGAAAAGTTGATATTTTTATGTAAAAAAAAACATAATCAATCCTTTCTCTAACTGAAAATTGATAAAAGACAACATTCAAAATCATATATTCAACACATTTTTGCAAGCAATCACAAATTCATCAAAGGGGATGAGCAAGCATAACACTACAAAAAAGAAGGGCATTACCGAAGGCCAAAAGCCCTCGGAAAATGCCATAAGCCGTTGGAAAAGGGTATTTACAGACGGCTTATCGATGGCCAAAGGACCCTCGGTAAATCCCTTGTCGGTAACAATTACCGAGGGCTTCTGCCCTTGGGCCAAAAGCCTTCGGTAATTACCGAGGGCCATAAACCTTCGGTAATTAATTACCGAGGACCATAAGCCTTCGGTAATTACCTAACATGGGTATTTACCGAAGGGCAAAAGCCTTCGGTAAGTTGGTGGGAAATGTAAGGAAAATATACGGAGGATTAAATATACGGAGGATTTGAAAGAAAAATAATATATAGTTGATACTTTAATATATTAATGTATTAAAGTAATACCCTTTTAACACACTAAGCACATTAACATTTGAATTTATAAGATATAAAAAGATGCTAATAAAAACATAAATATGAACTTAGATGAAAAATTAAAAAAAAAAAAAATAAAGTACAGTACATCACTTAAGGCTATATATGCATAAAACAGTCACTTCAAAGTTGTTATATACGCATAAAGCTACACCAAGGTCACATATGACTCTTAGTTACATTGTTGACTGGGACTTCATTACTAAATAGAGTAGATCTTAAGTTCAACATTTGCAGTTTGAAATAAACAAACACATATATAAGAGGGCTATAATAATTCATATAATGTTAGTATTTAATGTTATGAATGCACCTGCAGGATGATTCATACAGAAAAGAAAAACTTTCTATATATGCATAGATTCTTCATTCGAGAATAATAATATACACCTTAGAATGTGTGAACTCGTGATACTAAACCACACTGCACATTATTTCACGGNTGTTGAATCTTATGTTTATTTTGGAGCAACGCACATTTCATTATAATTTTTTTGAACTTTCTGTTTATTTTCAGAGCAAAAGAAACAAAAAGTTTCTGAAATAAAGACTGGAATTGATGAAGCTGAAGCTTTGGTACTTCTTTTTCTTCTGCATTGGAAAGCTGTATTTATTTTCTCTGTAGTCTGGTTCAGATGGTTTATTTAATGAATCTGTAGATTCGAAAAATGGACCTCGAAAAATGAATCTGTTGATTTATGATATGCTCTTTGATTTTTATTAATGATGCTCTTCTCATGTTTAATTTACAGGATGAAGTGCAGTTTTATTAATACAATTTTAATAGTTAGTGCTATAGTTGTTAGTGTTGTATAGTTAGTGAAGTTATTGGTTAAAATTAGTATAATTCAGTTAAAAATTAGTATAGTTAGTAGTTTAGTTCAGTTTATAGTGTAGTTTAGTACAGTTAAGTATAGTTCAGTTCAATACAGTTTAATAAAACAAAAGCAATTAAGTTCAGTTTTTCTGAACTATTTTTTAGTGCAGTTTAGTTTTTCTGAACTAGTTTTTAGTTCAATACAGTTTTTAGTAGTGCAGTGCAGTTTAGTTTGATTTGCCCACCCCTACCCAAGATCCTCACTCTCTCAATTTGGTTAATATACTTTTTCCTTCCTTTCAAGCATAATCAATCCAGCTATTTCATACTTATGCCCAGTTTAAAGCTTAATAAAATCTTTGTTTTTCAAGGTCTTGTAAATTGAAGGTTTTACTTCTAATTGTTTTAAATTACTATCCAAATCTTGTTTTTCAAAAAGAGTTCCTAAAGTAGTGGCATTAACGTGACAATTCCAAAACTATCTATAACCTATTCTTCTTACTTCTAATTTTAATCAAAACATCATGTAAGAATTTTAAATTGTTGAAATTAAATTGCAGAAAATGTAAAAAGAACTTGTTTTATTGAAGGTTTAGAATTCTGGTCCAGTAAGGGAGTGCATATCAAAGTATTCCTCCTCCTCCTCTTCTCTTGTTCCTTCATCAACAACTTCTTCTTCTCCTACTACTGTTGTAGCTTCTTCCATTTGGGTTTCCTCTTCCTCAACCAATGCTTCCCTTTCTTGCTCCTCCTTGTCTCTACACCTGCGGTCTTGGTCCTTTTGGTACCTTATTGTGAGTTTGAGGTTGTTGACCTTTTTCTGCTGCAATGCCACTAGTCACCCCCTGAAAGAAGGGATTGTCCCAATCCATTGAACAAAAAGCCTTAAACTGATCTGGGTAATGCCAAACTCTCCCTCTTGAAGCTCAATCCCCCTCTCGGTCAAGATAGACCTATTCTGAATGTCATTGAACCTTTCTTGTTTATCCTTGGTCTGGAACCTAATTCGGTCCCATTGAGTAGAGGTTTCTGCCACTATCTTCTCGCTTATCTCTTGCGTCTGAGTTGGTGGTGTGATGGAGGATGATGTTTGAGGTGTGAATTCTAAAGTTGATGGAGTAGTGGATGCAGGGGTTGTTGTTGTTCTACCTGTTGATGCAGCTGCATGACTTGGCTTCAAGATACTTCTTTCTCTAGCTGGGGCCACATGTTTCACCTTTGTTCTTAATTAAGCAATTAGGGGAGAAGGTCCATGGCTGCTTGATAAAGAGCTATCAGATATCTCTTGTATTGGTTCAACTTCTTTCTGCTTTGATAGAGTAGTTGATGCTTTGCCCTTTTTGGCAGCAGGAATGTCATGAGCAACTCTCCTCTTTGGTTCCATTCTGCATCAATTTCAATCAACTAGAAAGTAGTCCTCCATTTTATCAATGAATCAATGATACGAAC